TTTTTCGTAGTTTTTACACATTTAAAGTGCCTTAAGAAAAAAAAAACTTTTCCATACAAATTTCATACTTGAAAATATATTAAATTATTCGTGGAGCCAGAATTTCTTAAACTTCAAGGAATTTACTCTTAGTTTAGCCAACAGAGAATGTAGCAATATTGTTTAAAAGGATAATTACATTTATTTGACTTAAGGCTCATTATGTCAAACAAAAATTACATTAATTTTGAGATCATCCAAAAGCATACTAAAAATATGGTTTAATTGAAGTTTTGCACTGCTGGCAGGTTCTATATTGATTGTCTCCATCTTGGAATTTTGAAAACTGACTTTTATTTCTAGACTTAGAAATAAAACTTTTCTACCCTTTACCATGTTGGTTTTTGTGTGTTGGATTTGATGCTTGCCCAACGGTCATTTTTCTCTCTCCCCAAAGGATTACAAGAAATTGGAGATGTCAGAGTCTATGCTGATGTCAGAGTCTATGCTTTAGTGGGACTGTGACACCAAAGGGAGGTGGATTAGAAGTATTTGCTTTATAATCTAGTCAAATATAGTAACTTCCTGTTTCGATCTCAGCTAGGCAGAAGCTAGCGATGTGTGTTAAATCATACAGTGAATGGATGAATCCTCTCTTTTCTGTATATAGTGCTATAATCCAAGAATCTATAGCAGCACATTTTACTGACATTTAATAGTGAAAGTCTTTCCTTTCTTCTATCCTTTCCTCCCCTATCTAAACTATTCCTTGCAGTCCATTCAGTTTATCTTTCTGCAGACAGCAATGTGTTCTTTGCTCTTTTTCCATGTTTTGGATATATTCAGCTTCCTTATGTCATTAGAAGACACAGGCCACAAAATATACATCCTGTTGCTTGAGTAACTGGTCATTTCTCCTTTCCACTCTCGAATTCTGCTCTCTTGGCATTTGCCTTGCTCCCATCTCTTATCTTTCCTCGAGGCTTACTTATTTATAAGTGAAAATGCCTTTAGCAATCCCTTGATTCATCTATTCACCCTACTAAAGCATATGGCAGGGCTACATTCTGAGAAATGTGTCATTAGATTAGTTCATCATTGTGAGAACATCACAGAATGTACTTACACAAACTAAGATGGCTACAGCCTCACTAAGTGATAAAACCTAATGGGTACATGTAGTCTATTTTTTACCAAATTGCCTTTATGGGACATAAAATTGGGATTCACTGTTTACCTTTAACAGATTCCATTATTAATTTACCCACTTATTCTTGAAACAAAACAGTTTTCTCAAAGACTATTTTAGATTTTAAAAGGCCACCTCCCTTGTACATTCTGGAGATTTTTAATGTTATGAAAATGGACTACATCTTGTTTGGGCATTCCCTTTCCTGATATTTCAGGCAACATCCTTTCTTTAAATAAAATGATCAAGAACCTTTTGTGTATACCACAGTTTAAAGATACTTGATGCAGGCAGCAACTGATTTGATTATTGGTGGAAGCTTTTGGTCATGTACATTTTATTGGGCATTTTTTGCAAATCCCATTTTCCCTATTCAATGCAAACAATATGGAATTCTTCCATATACTATTTATGAATTTGGGTCCTTGTTTCTAATCTTGTAGAAAAATCAGCAGCTAATGCTGATACTAATTTAGCTGACAGTCTTGAGAAGGGACAAGGGAAAAAAAACCTGTGTGCAAAGAGTAGACTTGTCTTCTCTGGTGAAGATAAAATATACTATTTAGCAGGTGGACATGGTCCTTGTTTTCCTGGTATATAAAAACATTCAGATATTCTCCATTGTTCTATAGGGAAAACTTCTGTTTTTATAAATTATATCTATTTAGTGACAGAAGATGGTTCCTTGATACATTGCGTGACAAGCCATGCATATGTTATTTACGGTAATATAATTCTAAGTTTAAATGTCTGCATACATGTATATTTAACTTGTAAATAAATTTTACACATTTGGGGAAAAATATTGTGTGACAACTTCTAGGTATGCATATCTCAAGTTAGTGCTCATCTCTTTATTATTTTTTAATTATCAGATGGTATTTATTGAATTATCATAATTGTATACTTCCTAAAGTTTCCTTAGGGTTCTTGAAGTGTTGTAGAAAAAGCAGGAAGAAGCCAACAGATCCTGATGCGTGTTCTGATAAGAGACATCCAACCTACCTGGCAAAAGTCTTCCTGGCCCCCCTCTTTGTGAGCAGTGAACAGCAGACTGAGATTCCTGCTGAGAATCCTGCTGCTAAGCTCTGGTAGAAGAGCAAGAAAGAGGCCAGGGTGCTCCTGACCCCCCAAGGCAGTGTTCCTCAGGGCTGTGGGAGGCTGCCAGGTTCCTGAGTGTGGACTCCTTCAACCCTCAGGTATGGTTATTGACAAATTCAGAAAAGAGAGCAAAGAACTGAAGTTATTTCAAGAGGCACAGCTGTGCTCAGCAATCAGGACATATTTGCATTATGCCCTCTGTGCTGGGAACACACAAGGGGGAAGAAATGTGAGTCAGGTGGAGGCATGGGTTGTAGAAATTCACCTGCACCCATGCATGCACACAGAGAAGTGTATTTCATTCCCCGGGGCCTAACTCTTTGCAGGTTTCTGTAGGGTGCTTTCCAGTGTCTTCTCTTTCAAGATGAATGGAACCTGGATAGGCAGGAGAGGGATTTCAGAGCCCACAGCTGCCACAGTGTCAGAGTGAGAGCTTCACATTGCCTTTCCCTCCTAACCCAAAATAAGTTGTTCCCTGCCTAAGAAAGACACTGGCAATTTTCTGAGTAGCTACATAGTATTGCAGCTTGGTATGGTAGCATGAATGGCCGTTTTGAAATCCTTAACTGCTTTATATTTAAGATTTTCCTTCAAGATCTGGTCTGTTATTTATTGTCACTGATTACATAAGGGAGAAATATGCATTTTGCTTATGAATTATTTAAAATACGATATCAATACCACCTGAGATAGAAATATACATGACAAATTGGATTGTCTTTCAACATAGAGGTACTTCATTCAATTTATTTGCTGTGCATCTGCTATATACCATAAACCATGAGGGTGCTGCCAGGATATCCAAAAGAAAAACATTAAACCCACATCGCAGAAGAGTGTTTAGTGTGATAAAAGACATAGGCATCATGTGTCACTAGAATAATACTATGCAATGTGTCATCTTCAAATTCAGTGGCTTAAGAGTTATTCTTGCTCATGTGTCTTTGGTTTGTCAGGGCTCTGGTTACCCCAAGCTGCCCGAGCCTCTGTCTCAGCTGCAGATTGGGCCAGATCTGTCTGCCCCATGGATCTTCCCTCATTCTGTTAGCAGAGCTAGCTGGGAGTCATCTTCTGATGTCCATGGTAGAAGATTTAACAGCCAATCCCAGGTGCACAAATGGCTTTCCTCTCATCGGCTGGCCAACACAAGTGACATGCCCAGCCTGAACTGAAGTCATGTGATGATAAAGGAGAGGGTGACTGGGTGGGTACAGACATGAGAAGAATGCAATGAGCATGCCAGGCACAGACTGGGAAGTTCCCAGGTGAGAGAATCAGGTCTTGCAGACCTCTGGAAAACGTTCTTAGAGGATCTGGCACTTACCATGGGGCACAAAAAGTATCTGTGTTTCAAGAGGTAATCATGGGGGAGCGTAATTCACAGAAGCTTCATAAGCAAAACGTGGACATCATTTTCAGTGCTAGGTTAGAAAGAAATGACAAGAAAAAGTTACAGTAATAGAACAAGTCGATTTGTATGAAAACTTCAGAAAGACTCAAAGCAGGTGTCTGGGTGTCGAAAATTCTTGTATGTTACTGCTAGCAGTTCTCTGGAAAGATAGACTGTGAATGCTAATTTCCAAGGTAGATGTGGGAAAATACACAAGGGTATCATTTTCTTAAGTCAAAGCTATAATGAGAGCAGGAAATAACTTAGAAATCAGGTAGCCAACACTTATTTTATAGGTGAAGAAAATTGTGTTTGCAGATAAATTCTCTTTCATTTTTCCTCTCTGTTTCTCTCACACACATAGTAGTGTATGTGCATGTGTGTGTGTAATATAGATTTTGTAAATATATTCATATGCAATGACACACATACTGAGACTAAATAAATTTATTCCTAAATACATCTATGAGTTTTTATGTAATACACTGTATATAAAGAAAGACTAAATTACTTCTCATATGTATTGAGATGGAGAGAGAGAGGTAGAAAAATGAGTTCCTGCTTCGAGTGATATTGTAAAGAATTCTTGATCCCCCCAAAACTTAACAGCCACTCGGATCTTCTCAGGTGATCTTTCTGGTTTCAAGGAACAGGCTGTGGCTCAAGTTATTCAAATGTAAAGGAAGATTGTTCATAAGCTGGACAACCAGTATTTTGCCAGGAATTTGAGCCTTTGTTTGCCCTCTTAAATGCTGGTCTAAGGGAGCAGGTGAGTGGGTCTGAATGCCAGGGTGAGGCCCGGAAAGCAAGCGTCCTCCACACCCAGTCACTGCTCCCCTCTCCTCTGAAACCCATTCCTTTCCGTGCAAATTCCACATAATGAACCATCTACCTAACCAAAATACAATTCCGTCAGTTTATATACCTAATATATGAGCTTTCTCCCCGGAATAGAAGCAGTGAAACTTTGAAGCTGATGATCACCTTTGACGAGGACCAGAGTACAGCAGACCATGGTCCTAGGGCAGCTGTCCCATGGTCTGCTTTTATGAAAGAAATTTTGTTGCCACAGCCATACCTGCTCATTTCTGACAGCTGCAGCACGACTTCGGTGGGGTTGAGTCACTGAGGTGGAGACACACCCCCGGGAGCCTGCAGCTCTGAAAACGTGCATTGCACCTTGCCCAGCAGAGGTGTGGCTCCTGGAGCAGCGCTCTGGGTGGGTGACCCTTGCAGGTCTCTGACTCCGGAGATGGGCAGGTGCTTTGTGCATGGGTCGCCTTCCTTCACAGGCCTCCACTGGGGCCCTCGTCCGTAACCCTTTGCTCTCTGTCCTTGCAGACTCCGACCTGAGCATGCGCACACTGAGCACGCCCAGCCCAGCCTTGATATGTCCGCCCACCCTGCCGGGATTCCAGAATGGAAGGGGCTCGTCCACCTCCTCGTCCTCCGTCACTGGGGAGACGGTGGCCATGGTGCACTCCCCGCCCCCGCCCCCGCCCCGCCTCACCCACCCGCTCATCCGGCTGGCCGCCAGACCCCAGAAGGAGCAGGCCAGCACCGACCGCCTCCCGGACCACTGCATGGTGCACGTCTTCTCCTTCCTGCCCACCAACCAGCTGTGCCGCTGCGCGCGCGTGTGCCGCCGCTGGTACAACCTGGCGTGGGACCCACGCCTCTGGAGGACTATCCGCCTGACGGGCGAGACCGTGCACGTGGACCGCGCCCTCAAGGTGCTGACCCGCAGGCTCTGCCAGGACACCCCCAACGTCTGCCTCATGCTGGAAACAGTCATCGTCAGCGGCTGCCGGCGCCTCACAGACCGAGGGCTTTACACCATTGCCCAGTGCTGCCCGGAGCTCAGGCGCCTGGAAGTCTCGGGCTGCTACAACATCTCCAACGAGGCCGTCTTCGACGTGGTGTCCCTCTGCCCCAACCTGGAGCACCTGGACGTGTCAGGTAAACGGAACCTGGCCTCCTGGCATGGGCTTACCCAATTCACCATAGCAGAGGGGTCCACAGTGCCACCCCTGCAGGAACCCTACTCGGGGACTCCCAGAGGGGCAGTGGGTGGCAGGGAGGGCAGCACTTGCAGAGAAACTGCCTTCGTGTAATCAGAACCCTGGAGGCCAGCTCTATCCCTTTCATCAGATGATCTCGGCTTCATAGAGGAGTTCACCTGGCACCTGGCAGTTCAGATTAGTTGCCTTAAATGTGTTCATGCTCTCCATCACACTCACAGTTGTTTCTCAGTAGCCATAGATAATAATAGAGTCCAGATATCCAATTTAGATAATTAGGAACCAGATTGCTCTTCAAACATAGCTATCAGCTACCTTTTACCCGCTTGTTGCTGGCCCACAGAACCTGAGTGCTACACCCCAGCAGCGGGCGTGACCCTACCTGTTTGTTCCTGTGCTGTGCACATGACTGAGTCCCTTGTGGACCACAAATCACCCAGAAGTGTGTGTGATCAGGATGGCTCACATTTCGGACACCCTGGGGAAATCCTCCCTGGGGAAGTAGCTCCTTGTATTTCAGCCCCTCTCTTCCAACCTACACTGTTTCTTAATCAAAATTCTCAATTCCATAGTGCAAGGTTAAGGAGCATTGAATCAAACCTTCAGTACTTTTAAAAATGGAAGGAAACCCCAGCATGGCTGCTTCGCTTGAAAACCTCTCACAGGCAGGAAGAATTAAAGGCCAGAGTCAAACTTTGGCACCAGATAGGGATCGGATCTGACAAACAGCCTTTCTTTATCTCATCCATTGCAAAGTCAAAAGGCGAGCACTGGAGAGGCTGAAATGTATGAGATGCACCAGGGAGTTAAAGAAGTGAACGGCATGAGCATAACCTTAGGGATTGTTGGGGAGAGGTCAAGAACTGAAAAGCACTGTGCTGGGCAAATAAACAGACTTCGGGATTTACAAGCATCTGAGGTAAACGATGCCCTCCAACAAAATGTGAGGTAAATCCGGCTCTTAGCTTGCTCTCTCTTTTGAAAGCCAACATCTGAAAATATTTCAGATGACAGTCCATTATTGCTTGCAGATTCATTCCCTGGCTGGAAAGCAGCTTGCTGCTTCTCCCCTTCAGCTGGCTTCAGGACAAAACCATAGTAACTGTATGTTCACTTAGTCATGAGCAGCCATTGGCATAAAGAAGCAGGAAACAGCAAGGTTTTCTTACATTTCTTCCCCCAAGGAATTCTGGAAAGAGAAAGCATTGTTATGTGGTGGAAACTAGTTACAAAACTTTGTGGCTTGGGACAACTCACAGCTTTCTCTAGGTATGTTTTCTCTATAATTAAAAAAAAATGCAAGGCAGTGCTCTTTAACATTCAAATTGAGCATTTTATAAACACTTCATTTATTTTCTCAGTTTCAAAATGATTCATTTTGGAACCCGCATCTTTGTTAAAAGGGGCTTCCCATACATTCTTCATACAGACTGCAAGCAATCATGCTGTCTCTTTTGAGATCATTTTGAAATTTAGAAATGCTAAAACTGCTTTGGGTATTTGGAAATGGGAATTCTTGGGCTTCCGGCCTCAGTGATCCATGCTCGACCCCTTGATATCTCTCATCGTCAACCGGACTGATTATATTTGTGTAGCTTCTTTGGTTCTTTTTTTTAAGGCTTTTATTCATCTTGATCAGGGAAAAGGACAATCTCAATTTGTCACCTAACTGTACATTTGAACTTAGAGGATTCACTACTCTAGACACCACACCTGCTGACGGGACAACTTAAAATAATCTCCCTTCCCATCCCTAGGATTCCATGTTAGAAGAGTAAATCTGTTGGAACAGCCAGTACTTGTACTTAGCCATAGCGAAATAAGATCAAGGCATTGAACCTGATGGCCCAGCCAGTACACATATCATTGGAACAAAGTCACGGCCATCAAATTAGGGAGGGGGTAGGAGACATACTGATCTATGGACACAAAGAATACAATAAGAGGAATTGGTCAGTCACCAAGTTAAAAAACACAGAACCCCAGGTACAGGAAAGATTTTTAGGTAGAGGAACGTGAAAGACTCAACAGCCCAGAAGGTTGGATTTACCATCAGCTTCCCTAACACTCCCCTCCAGTTCTGTGGGAATTTGGAAATGGTCGTGAAGATACAGAGAGAAGCCAGAGGGCAGCCATGTGTGACTTCCCCATGGTCTGTTCTGCTTGGTTTTCTCAGGTGGCCTCCCATAATGACTTCATTCCCCACAGCAATGGACTTGATGGAATACTCATCACTAGTCTAGAGTTTAAAGCTCCTCGAAGACATGTGACCACCTCCCTCATCCTCAGAAAGGCAGACAATGCCCCTGTTGAAAGTCTTCTTTTCCTGGAAGCCAAGAGTTGCCATCTTGAGCTCTGCTTCTTTGTCAGTACCCTCTAAATCTGCTTGGTTTTCAGCAGTGGAGAAGATATGATATTCCTTGTCCTCAGCACTCAGTGTGGTCCCTGGCACATAGCAAGAACTTCATTTATTGAATAAAAAAAGAGTTGGAGGACAAAAGAGTGAAGGGAGAAAGCAAGATAGTTCAACAAGGTAGAGGAAAAAAACCCAAAAGTTACAATTATGGAACAAAAATAAAGTTTGATGTGTTTTCCTCTATAAATGTTTGTTAACTCTGAGATAGGCAGAATAATTATCCTCTAAAGATGTCCATGTTCTAACTCTGGACACTATGAATATTGTGCCTTACATGGTAAAAGGAACTTTGTAAGTGGGAATAAGTTAAGGGTCTTGTGCTGGCTGGATAGGTTATGCTAGATTATCTGGGTAGACCTAGTGGAAGTATGAGACCTTTAAAAGAAGGAAGCAAGACAGTCTGGAGGGAAATATGAGGATGAGAATACAGAGGGTGGAATGATGTGTTTTGAAGATGGAAGAATGGATCATCAGCCAAGGAACACAGGTGGCCTCTACCAGCTAGAAAAGCCAAGGACAGATTCTCAGCTCTGCTGGTCTCTTCATTTTTGCCTGAGACTCATTTCAGCCTCCTGACTTCAAGAACTGTAACATAATAAAGTTGTATTGTATTGCTTGAAGCCATCAAAAGTTACCTTTTCAAGTTACTGAATATTATTATTGCTAGCTGTAATACTTTCTCATTATCAAAGATAGTCTTTGATTAATGTCTTCAAACGTCAGTGGAATACATTAAAACAACCAGTTTTCAAAATATGAAATGTTACAATTATTGCAAATAAGATTGTGTCAAATGGATCCTCTCCAGGAGATCTTCTCCAATGGCCCTCTCTCTCTCTCTCTCTCTCTCTCTCTCTCTCTCTCTCTCTCTCATCTTATATATCTAACCAGTAGGCTCCTGTCCTGGTGATTCCATTTTTCCAGGGCCTTGAGTCCATTCCCTCTCCTCTACCTGCCTGCCCAGAGATACCCTTCACCCATCACAACCCCTCTGCACAGCCAAGACAGGAAGTTTTTCAAATTACCAGTCAGTCTTTAGTTTCCTACATAAAGTCTCTAACTGTTCCCCGTGACTTACAGCAAAAAGTCAGGTTCCACAATAGAGCATACAAGACCCTAAGTGAGATGCCCTGCCCAAGCTCCACTCGTCCTCCTCCTGTACACTGGACTTTTCCTTCCATGGAACCGTCTGAGGGTCCCCATGCACATCATGCTGGTGCATGCAGTGGTGTGTGGCTCCCTCTTTGGCTCCCATGCCAGTCTCTCCTCCACCCCCTCTCCTGAGGGGCTGCTCAGTGCTGAGGCGCCAGTCAAACCCCTTCTGGTTGCAGCCTTCCCTGTCTCACCCTGATGGACTAGGAGCGGCCGTACTTGCTGGTGCTGGAGCCTGGGTGAGCTCTGCAATTGGGTACTTCAACATTTCCAGTTCCCTTCCTCTGAATTCATTGTGTGCTTTATATGGGCAGAAGTGAGGCCTTTTTTATCTTTGCACTTTATGACATTGTAATGAAGTGGAACAGAGGAGTGTCAAAGCCCTAAATGCTCATCTTTACCCCTAACAGACTCAAAGTTCCCATTGGTTAATGCTCTAAACAGCATTTAGGAAGCAGCTAAAATTTCCTCATCTATATAAATGGAGATGGGAGGATGAAGTGGGTTAATAATGCCAGGTCTTCACATGTAGGTTCCCTGAGACCCCTGCAGCAAGCACTCATAAATCACAGCTGCTGTCATCATTGCTGTACATTCCCCTTATTCACATCCCTAGAAGTCAGCGGCTGGTCTTTGCTGATTGGGCCATCACACATCCCAGAGAAAGTAGAGATATTGCCCCAGTAAGGAGAGGCAATAGGAATGAGGAGCAAATTTGTGAAAGTTGAATGGAATCTGGAATTCACTGAAGGATCTCCAGATTAATTGAAGGATCCCCATGTTGCTCATTCCCTGTAGAATAATGTACAGACTACTTTTGTGATCCAATCCCAGCAGATCATTCCCATCATAGTTTCCCTTCAGTCCTTTCAGTCACCCGAAGTTCTGCCTCATGAACATTTCTTACTCCTCCATGGACTCTCTATGCTTTCTTGTCTCTCAAATCTGCCTTGCTTTATTTTACTATCAAAGCTCCATACATTTCCAAACAACTCCTCTCTTTCTAAAATCCCCTCAGGTATTTCCATTTCCAACCCTTCCAAAAGCCCAGTGTAATCTCCTGCTGATGCATCTGCTGTACATCTCTCATGTAACCTATCCATTCTAGGTACATCCAAGTCATTTCTTACCTCTCTGTGATAACTGAAGCCTTGAATTACCTGTCAAAAAAATTACCCTCATTGGAGATGTATTTCAGTGATAGCTTAGCATCCTGAAGGCCCTGGTCTCCATCCTCAACATCACCAAAGAGAGAACAAGACTTTCCCTAGTCTGAGTGTACAAGTCCCATACTCTTACTGAGCCTGAGATGCTTCCATTTTTTAAAAAATGAAAATTGAATTGAATTATTTCTAAGGGTCCTTCCATGTCTGTAATGTATGAACTACCCATTAACATCATCTACTAAGCCATGAATCAATTCATTTTCTTTTCAGTTCAAAATCAGCAAATTGAGAATTAGGGCTAACTCTAATATTAAAATGATTGCTTGATCTGAAATGATACCAGCTTATCAAAACAGCTTACTAAAACTATGCCAAAGTAATATCTCATTAAATTTGGAATCATTTTTTAAAACACAGTATATATTTGCATGAACTAAATATTGCACACTGGAGTGCTAAAGACTTTGCTAGACATTTGGGGGTGGGGAAATGGAACCTAGAATCAAAAGGGTAGGAATAGATTTATCACAGAACTAGAAAAATAAAGGCCTTCAGAAGCAGCACAGGCAGACAAATACATTCAGTATAAACAGGACTGCAGTCAGTCAAAAAGAACTCAAAGCAAAGGGAGATCTCAGAGCTAAGGTTGTTGGGCATTGATGAGCTCTCAGCAAACCATGAAGCCCACTGAGCTCTGCCCAGTCGCATCTCGCTTGTCCAGCATTGGTCTGCATGTGTCACTCCTTCCAGAAATTCTCAACTTGGCAGCACGTGACACTGAACCCTCTTATCCCCAGAAGCTGTGTTTTATAAAAGCCCCCTGGGCAGCTGGCCAGCAGGTGGGAGGAAAGTTCCAAGGAGCACCGCTGTGTAGCTGCTCAGAAACCTTGGGCGCTGCACTGAGTGCCATGGTGTGGGGGGTCTGAGATGGGGCTTCTGGTGGCTGGAGAGCTGCCAGAGGGGTCTGAGAAGCACAGGGAAAATGTGAGAAATGCATACGTGCAGTCTGTGCAGGGAAATGAAATATGCACATAGATGTGGATTCATAATATGGACTATAGATGTTTATTATTTATATTTATATACTATACATGTACTCTATATTCTATAAGGTAATGTTCACTGAACTGAAATATACAACACATGCTTCATATATTATGTAAGTATATAATTATACTCCATGTGATCATGTATCATTATTTTTACACATACTATGTGTGCGTGTGTGTGTGTGTGTGTGTGTGTGTGTGTGTTCTTTTTGGAGGTACTGGGGATTGAATGCAGGACCTTTGCAATGAGCTATATCACCAACCCTTTTATATTTTTTATTTTGAGATTCAGTCTCACTGAGTCACTAAATTGCCCAGGTTGGGCTTGAACTTGGAGTTTTCCTGCCTCAGCCTCCCAGAGTGCTAGGATTGCAAGGGTGTGCCACTACAGCCAGCCTACTCACGAACATTGTTAAGTGTTTAGAAACAATGTTTAGAGAGTCATCTAAAGATATCTTCCCCAGAATTAGCATGTTTGTCAGTAAAATGGATTGTTTTAAGAATCAGGCAATAAAATATTCTTGAAAATACTTTGTAAACTTCATAGATCAATACAATAAAAGGTGTTTAAATTAAGCATACATGCACCCACTCCCTGTGATGAATGTAATCGCTATGTACTGTACACATGCACTAATGAAAATAAAAATTTTAAAACTCAAGCACACAGTAAGTAGGAATTTTTCAGTGTAGATACACTTCAGCCAGCCCATTCATACCGGTTACCACACTGCGTATTCATGGAGCTCTTTGAGTGTAGGATTGCCAGCTGTGAGTTCCTGCTCGCAGCCTTAAGACGCAGAAGTTAAGCCTTCTGCCTGAGCACTGAGGAATAAACTGATCCAAGTGTGAGCCATGAACCCAGTGAACACAGTGCTCTTTCTCCCAAGCCAAGGCCATGTTCAAACTCTGCCCCAGCCCCGTTCTTTGGACCAGAGAGCTACCAGACCACTGCACAACCTTTACTGAGCTCCTGGGTCCTTCCAGGAACAAAGCAGGACTTCCACATATGTAACATACATAAGCCCAAGTCTTTGTGGCTGCCCTCCAGCAAATGTGATTGTCCCTGTTTGAGGACAAAGGAAGTGGAAAGAATGTCAGGCCATTGGTAATGGATCAGTAATTGATCTTGATCACTTCTGATCCAGAATCTGCCTGGTCTTTCAGATTCTGAACTCATTGAATCCTCTTAAGTACAAGTAATCAAGAATAGCCAAATAATCACAGGAGTGTAGGGGACCCTTCCTTGCTCTTTTCCCCCTGTAGGGATCAAGACAGAGAGGGCTTGGGGAGAGTTAGGGACCGCTGGCATCCGGCTGACCCTCCACTGGCCTCTCCCACGCTGCACTGAGCATGTGTTCTGTCTCTTTGTGTAGGGTGCTCCAAAGTGACCTGCATCAGCCTGACCCGGGAGGCCTCCATTAAACTGTCCCCCTTGCATGGCAAACAGATTTCCATCCGCTACCTGGACATGACAGACTGCTTCGTGCTGGAGGACGAAGGCCTGCACACCATCGCGGCGCACTGCACGCAGCTCACACACCTGTACCTGCGGCGCTGTGTGCGCCTCACGGACGAGGGCCTGCGCTACCTGGTCATCTACTGCACGTCCATCAAGGAGCTCAGCGTCAGCGACTGCCGCTTCGTCAGTGACTTCGGCCTGCGGGAGATCGCCAAGCTGGAGTCGCGCCTGCGGTACCTCAGCATCGCGCACTGTGGCCGCGTCACCGACGTGGGCATCCGCTACATCGCCAAGTACTGCAGCAAGCTGCGCTACCTCAACGCGAGGGGCTGCGAGGGCATCACGGACCACGGCGTGGAGTACCTCGCCAAGAACTGCGCCAAGCTCAAGTCTCTGGACATCGGCAAGTGCCCTTTGGTCTCCGACACGGGCCTGGAGTGCCTGGCCCTGAACTGCTTCAACCTCAAGCGGCTGAGCCTGAAATCTTGCGAGAGCATCACGGGGCAGGGCTTGCAGATCGTGGCTGCCAACTGCTTTGACCTGCAGATGCTGAACGTGCAGGACTGCGAGGTGTCCGTGGAGGCGCTGCGGTTCGTGAAACGACACTGCAAGCGCTGCGTCATCGAGCACACCAACCCTGCGTTCTTCTGAGGGAACCGCGTGGTTTTCAATTTACAATCGTGAACCAGACAGAATGTTTTGTAAAGAAAGCGTCGACACCCACTCTCAGCAGCTGTTTCTTCCGGAAAGGCTCCTAGGAATCTGGCTTTTATTTTTCCTTATTTTTCATGGGCAACAGAGGTCAAAGCAATAAAGGAGGGGGGGACACTTTTCGATTACCGCAAACCGTGTTTGGGGTCGGGTCATTTGAGGACAGTTTCCCTTCTCAGCAGGCTGATCGCAGCGTCTCTAAGCCCCACCTTACTTTCATACACACCCCACTCACCCCACCTGCACGAGCAGCGGAAGGTATCAGAGTGGTGACGCCCTCCAGAGCTGCTCTGTAAGATGCTGGATTGGCCCAGCCCCTCTCCTCAATCCCTCACCAGGCAAACCTCGGTTAGATCTTTCACAGCACTCTGCATATAGAAAGAGCATCCCAGATCTTTTCTAATAATCCCTCATGTCAAGCAGCGTGGTGAAAGTAGAGACCTGCAGGCTTTCCCCAGCTCTGCCTTAGCTAGTTGTGCTACCTTGGTCAGTGCACTTCACCTCTCTGGGGCTTCGGCTTCCAGCACTGCATCTGAGGCCATCCCCCGGGGGGTTAGATTCCTGATCACTTTAGAACTGACAGAACAGAGATAGGAATAAACAGAAGAACCCTGATAGAGAACAAAGGCATCTGTCTCTTGCCAGAGAATTGATTCTGTGAATGGGGTGTGCTCTGGGGAGCTTCTGCAGTACCAGCTGCAGTGGGCAAAGGGTCTTTCCTGTCCTTTTGCTCCCATCTGAGCGCCACCTTGGATGGCTGCCTGGGCGGTTGGCTGTGGGTGAGACTATTGCTGGATGTGGTGGAATCTAAAAGCATCCCACACTCCACACACCTCACCAAAACCCCAGAACGTCTCATCGTGGTGAAGCCCAGATCCCCCAATCAGGGTGCATCTTAGAAGTGTTTTCAAATAGGAAGAAAGACCTTCACAGTTTTTCAGTTAACAAGCAAGGCTCAGGAGAACACCAGTCCTCAAAGGTTTTTTCTAGTCCTTCTCAGTGCACACGTGGGATGCCTCAGGCACAGCTGTCCTGTAGCTGGCAAGGACAGCCTCCTTGGTTCTTTGTCATTCAGCTGTGTTTTGACTCTTTGCATCTATTTATTTCTTTATGTACCAGGCTTAATCACGTGAAGCCTCTGGGGGTTACATTTGTAAGTGTTTAATTGTGCAAATTGCCACCTTGTGTGTCTCCTCCTTGACTGCCTGCATGTTTTCCATTAGAGAATGCAAAGCAGACTTCTAGGTGCTTAACTCCTGTTCCCCTAGAAGTGTCAGACCAAAGTAAAGGAACACATTGATAAGACATGAGCTGATCCACCAACTGAGCCCTTGGAATAGAACATTTAAATGATTACAAAATATGAATTTTAAATAGATGGAATTGAAAATGGTCCCGTTGGGATAGAAATCAATTTGGTAGCCTCATGTATGAGAAATCAGGTAGCCAGAAGAAATGACATCGTTCCTTTTCATGACATTCTGTTGTCCTTTGTTAGTAAGTTGGGCGTTTTTCCCAAATTGGTCTCCAGCCACACCTCTTCTTCATCACTGCCGAAACAGCTTGTTCATTTCCTTTTCAGAGGGTTGCATGTCCAGTCCCAGAGCATGCGCATCCCCAAGGCAAGCGTGCTAAATGTGTTTCAGGTCATGCTTACACACTTCTTGACAACTGCATTCCCACTGTAGGCTCCCGTGTGTGCGTACTGTTGTCTCATGTTGGGAAGGAAGAGTTAGAGATGAGATCGCCTCTGTCCACGAGGTTTCTTTCATACGTCATAGGAAACATGGCTTCCTGTGCAGCTACCATCACCTTCAGCTCAAGTGAGCCATCAGGACTGTGTGCTGCGGGGAAAGAGATTTGTCTGCTTGGGGACAGTATTTAGTGATAGCCACAGAGTTCGGAGCCTTAAAAGTCGAAGGTAGCATTACATTGCTCTGTGTCCTGTGACCCTGCTCAAAGTTTCTGAATTTCAGAGTCACAAAGGATTGTTCCTACCCTTTGATACTGGCCTATTCCAAATAAGCTGGTTTACACCTCCCAGAAGGTGCCAGCGAGTTTTACTCCCTGAACCACTCTCACCAGCAACTGACCGCACCACCCAAACTGTCTTCCAAGCATTAGATGAAGCCAGCTTTTCATACCGCCTGCCCCACACGTACTATTTCCCAGGTTCTCCCTTTTCCTGGACTCCTCCTCCTCCTCATTCTGCTCCCCCCTGGAGTAAGAATCTGGGACAGAGGTTACTGGGGAAACAACTCAGCAGATGTTTAGAGACAAAAAGGCCTCTCTAAGAAACTTATCTGTTTTAAAACATTGCTTCCTTCCTGGCTCTGCTAAATTGAATGCTCATTGTTGTTGTTGTTGTTTAATTCTAATGTTCAAATCACTTTGTGCTGTATGACTCTAGACAGCCTTAATTTACTACCACCAAGAAATAAAGCAATATGTTGGTAATCAGGCTCTGCTTTATTTTTAATACCAAAGTTGAGTGATGTTCAGATGGGGACAGTTACAAGTATGCAGAAAACTTGCTTTATGTTGAAAGTACAGAGCAAGCTGGGTTGCTGCTTCCATTTTCCCTTTAGAACTGGACCTGATGCCTTTGGCTTAAAATTAGCAGGTAAGCAAAAAAACATTAGCTTTAAACTACAGGTTATCAATTCCTTAACCCAAACTCTCAGTGCCAGGATTTAGAATTCATAGTTTTGCAAATTTTAGGAAGGTATATGTGGTGTATTTTGGGACACTTACAGCAGACTCTGGGGCAGCACCCTTAATCAGATATGATAATATTTCTGCAGCAATAGATATGAATAGTCATTTTATATAAGAGTAATCCATACTATGAATAATCTTGCATTAATTCAGGTCAGATTTTTGTCACCAAATGAGTTTATGCAATAAATAATAAAGTCTAGTTTACTACACTTTCTGGATTTCAGAATTATAAGTGAATAATTATGGAGTTGAATACACTTCACTCTGGTACTTGTTACAACTATTTGAGAATTATTCAAAATTATGCTGACCAGTAGTTGTTATTAATTACAAAAATCCCGTATATTAGAAGATTAAAACCTGGAAGGAGAATAGGGTGAGCTGATCTAAAAGGAAAAAATGTCAGTCATCTGGGAGAAGAGAAATATTGAATCCTTTCTCCCCACCCCTAACTTTAGATCTGAGGAATCAATGTGGCAGAAAGCAAGTGATGATAGATAGCTGGAGAACTTCATCCTTACCAACCACAAAGGCTCTGATAGATTTCAGTGATAAATGTGTTTGTGCTCAACCTTCTTTTCACCCTGTATTTCTTTGACTGCTCTCATATAAACCAGTAGCACTGCTAATTGCCTTGAGACATTCATTTCAGGTTGTTCAATGCAATTCTTGTCAAGATCTCAGAATAAAGCTAGCAGTAAGTAAACTTTCATTCACTTTCAAGGTTCATAACTTCTTAAACTGGCATTTGTTCACAACTGGGAAAGGTCTTCAGGAACTTGAATACCTAAGAGCATGCAAAATGAAAATGAGGAGAAAACTAATAGTACAAATGGTCATAGAGAAGTCAGCAAAAGTGATGCATTGTTTAATAGCTGGCAATCATGCTCAGTTCAGAGAGAAATGCTAAATAGAAGACAAAGTACAAACATGGAAAACTAGATCAATATTGCAGTGAAAATGTTCACACAGAAAACTGGTGAAGCAAAATTAGCATTCTTCTTGTATGTTCTTAGTCCATCGGTTCCTTCTTCTTTGAGCTGTACATTAGATGTTGTCCTTCTGCAGTAGGGAGAGGTACAATAAGGGACAGAGTGCCTGTCATCATTTGTCTACAGTGGATGTCACTAAGACTCCAAAACACAGCTCATGTTGCTAAAGAACAACTTGGACAAGTGTTACTGAGATGGCAACCAGAAAAGCAAAGCCATTCCCATGAGGTTAAAAAAATACTCACTCAGATACTCAGACTGGGAACCCTGCATCCAAAACTGCACCTGGGAGCTGCTTAGTGCCCATTTTCTCTCTCAGATCATCATTGTCTCCTAGGGCCATGAGCCCTTTTCACTCTCTCAAGTCTGCATGTGAAACTACTCAAGATGAAAGAGCATTTCCATTTGAGATCTGTACATCATGATTATGACTGCTCAGTGCCCACCTTCGGTGTAGAAAAGCCTAGTTCAAGGGTCTGTTCCCTAAGAGTTGACCCTACACCTTGTCCCTCCCTTTATATCTTTATTTTGGTAAATTCCATTATGGCAGGACTCCCAGTGACAGAATAATATCAGGCTCCTAATAAACATTTTTGTATTAATGAATAAATATTGGAATATATTCAACCCCTCACCCTACCTTATTACAAGATATTGTTGTTATTATTATTTGATCTGAGTTCCTTTAGGGTAAAGATGCTGTGAATCATCTGTTCATGAAGAAACATGATTGCAATCTTCACTCTCCATCATACGGTGATCATTGCATGAACCAGGGCAGAATTTGGACAAAGTGATCTCATCAGAGTAGAATTCAGTAGCCAAGCAGCTGCAAGGACAAATATTACAAAACACAGAAATGACTAGTTAGAAATAAATCCAGGATTATTTAAAAATGGCTCTTCAAGGTCCTCAGAGACCTGGATGATGTTCGTTGCTAAACACTTGAGCAACAAACAGCCATTCAAAGGCAGCTTTCCTGAGTTCGCCATAAGGTTGGCCTCTTCCTGGGCTAGTTCTCTAGGAGATGCCATGTCTGTTATTGACAGGCTGCTGCAGGGAAGAGACAGGATGGCAGAGGGTGTGGTAGAAGAAAAAGTGCTCAACCATGGCAGCTAGGAAGCAAAGAGAGAACAGAAAGGGCCAGGGACCGGAATACACTTTAACTAAATAGCTATAGCTTAACGATGTTACTGCCTTAACTTAGTCCTATGGAAAGATGGTGGGTCATTTTGTAGACACATACACGCACACACACACACAAACTCACACTTTTTAAGGGAGGGGAATATTGTGGGAAAACAATCCTGAAACATAGTTTCTTTGACAGACTTCTAGGAACCGCAGAGCAGCTTGCCTGTCCTCCCCAACAGCGCATGCAGCACCAGTCCAAACACAGCCATATGCCCACCAACCTGCTGCTGTCGCTTCCCCAGTGAGAGGATGAGTCCCTCCCTTGGCAATCTTGGATTTTTCATCCACCATGAGTACTTTCTGGTGTCATTCTAACTGCTACACACCTACAATGGGAGTGGTCAGAGTAATTGGTTTCTCCATTTACCATGTCCCTTTGCTGAAAAGTAGACTATTTCTGTAATTTTCAAAATAGTGGGTGGCCCAAGCAGGACTGATTAAATAGCCTTTAAAAGGGCTATTTTAAAGAAATGGATTTTACTTGTAAATTCACTGAAGATGAGTTCTTTGAAATCTCCAGTTCTATTGGGGTTGTAAATGTGAAGTTATCTGCCTGCAGTAATCATGAACTAAACAATGAGAGCCATTAGAAGTGCTAGAGCAATGGGAAGGCTTTTAAATCTCATTTCTCTGTGGGCAGAATCAACAGTCATCATGGCTTTCAGAGCCCTGAGTGTCTCTGGCATCTGAGAAGGCTTACGAAGCCCGAAGCCCGCTTTCAGATAGGCAGGCAAAGATGTAGAACAGGATTTCTAATTACAGAGATTAACCAGTAATTGGTACTTCCTTTACACCAGTCTCTTGCTAACCACTAATGATTCCAGCCACCCTCTATCAGTAAAATTTAAAAACAACCCAGGTTTCCCATCATAAGTGTGTTCTTCGAGGGCATTTACATTTGGAATTTAAACAAACTTATCGGGGCCATTTTCATTTATGAGAAAGCAGATAAAGGTACAAAACTGTCACAACTGATAAATAGCCTTTTCTCTTTTATCTGAAAGCCTTTTAAATATTTATTTATTTTTGGAGGAGAGAAAAGTAGATACAACTCTCTTTGTACACTTTTACATTTTTCACTTTTCAAAAATAACCACAGCAATGCACCAGATTTCAACGGAATAATTCTTCTTTTTTGTAATCATGCCCTCTAATAATTGAGAAACGTTGGTTTCTCGTATTCTGCTGCCACTTAGTGAAGTCCTTGATGAGATCATTCTGCCTATCAAATCTTTACTTTAGTAGAACCAGAGAGCTTAAACCAGTAGAATGGTTTCTCGGGTTCTCCTTGCAAACACTCAGACAAGGACGTATTTATGATCTATGTGAATGGCATGCAGGCAGCAAAATCTTTCCATTAGCTAGTCAGGACTGTGGTACCATAGTTGACTCTCCTCTATGTTTATAATTTTAAAACACCCAAAGAATAATGACCATGAATATGCTGGTAAGCAGAGCTCAAGAGGCGATGGATTGAAAGAAAGAGGTAGAAAGAGAGAGACTTTCAAATAATGATCTCTCACTCACATAATGAAAAACAGAGTCTTCTCCCAGCTTTCCAAGCTGGCACTGTTTCATGGGCTCGATCGCCTTGGGGCTCCTGTGTGTAGTTATGTTTCTTTTTAAAATACTGCACACAAAAAAGCAATAGGAAATACAAACACTGCCACAGAAGAGCATGCGTCTCCCTTCCTTTTAAAACATGTGATTAATCCCAAACACAAGTGGCACGATAGTCTTAAGGCTGTTCATGTTATATAAGGGCTCCTTTTGCTTTTATAAAAAAGCAAAGTTGCACATTCTCAGATGTTGAGCATTTCTGTTTCTTCAACTTCACTCACCCCAAGTTCACTGCCCTTGTGACATCAAGCCTCCCGTGATTAATTCTTCACAGCCACTCGCTTACTCTGCTAAAGAGGAAAGTGGCCTTTCTGCTCAGATACTCTGAATGATGCAAAAGTATTATATCAGCAGCTCCATCGAAGAATTCCTCTCCAGGGATTGGAAACCCCATGCCAAGCATTGGAAGGACCTGGGCTCTGAACAAAGTGTTGGGAAATTTGGCTGAGAGTTCTCTTTGGCTGAAACTTACTCGGTAATTCTTCAGGTGATCACAAAAGCAACTTTGGCAATTTTAAAAAGGTTATTGCTTCTAGATTTCAGCAGGATAAATGTTATGTATTTATTTCCATTTGCATAGTACTGCCAATAGAATTCCCTCTGGAGGAATAATGAAATACAAATTCAAAGTTGGATCCTATTTTAGGTCCTGTTTGGTTTGTTTGTTTGGGGGGTCTTATATATTTTGGTCCTTTAAATTTATTTTTTAGGATGATCAATTAATTGTATTATAGCTGAGCCTGGGCACTTGCTCATGTGTCACAAACCACTTTCAGTAGGAAATGCATCCCCAAAGGGACCTGTGGTGCTGTGAAAACACTCCTGAAGTGCCCTTCATAAACATGTGTGGCCAACTGCCAGTAGGGAATATCGCCATACAAAGCAAGAGTTCATTTCTCAGGAATACACAGAACAGACTTAGAGATAATC